AAAATTGAAACATTGAAATCTCGATAACTCGAGAAATCGAAAAATTGAAAAATCGAGAAACTTAAAAAACGAAAAATTGAAGAGTGGAAAAATCAAAAATTTTTCAAATCGAAAAATTAAAGAAACCGAAAATCTAAAAGCGAGTCCAAAAAACATCGAAAAATGGAAAAAATTGAAAAATTGAAGAATCGAAAAATTGAGACTTAAATTTTAAAAAATCGAAAAATTAAAATATATAGAAAAACTGAAGAACTGCAAAATTGAAAAATCGTGGCATCAAAACATTAAAAATTCGAAAAATTGAAAAATCGAAAAATGTGAAACATTAAAAGTCTAAAAATTTTGTAAAATCGAAAAAGTGAAAAATCAAATACTTAATCGAAAAGTCGAAAAATCGAAAAATTGAAAAATTGAAAAATTTAAATATGGAAAAATCTCAAAATTGAAAAATCCCAAAACTAAAACATGGAAAACTTAAACAATCTAAGATTTCAAAAGTCGAGAAATCGAAACAGCAGAAAATCGAGAAATCGAAAAATAGAAAAATCGAAATCGAAAAACTGAAAAATCGAGAAATTCAAAACTCCCAAAACTGAGATGTCCAAAAAATTGAAAAATCAAAAATTGGAACAGCGAAAAATCGAAAAGTTGAAAAATAGCAAAACTGAGAAATAAAGAAATCGAAATTGAAAAAAATCGAAAAGTCGAAGATTCGAGAAATTGAGAAATTCAAAATTAAGACATTTAAGAAAAACACAGATAATTCGAAAAATCGAAACATTGAAATCTGGATAACTCGAGAAGTAGAAAAATCAAAAATTTTTAAAATCGAAAAATTAAGAAAAAGAAAAATCTAAATGCCAGAAGTCCAAAAAATAAAATATCGAGAAATAGAAACACCAAAAACGTAGAAAATCTAAAATTTAAAACTTCGGAGAATTAAAAATTAAAAAAATTGATACATCAAAAAACTGAAAAATCGAAGAATCGAAAAATCCAAATAAATAAAATTTAAAAAATTGAAAAATTAAAGTATATAGAAAAATTGGAGAATTGCAAAACTGAAAAATCGTGAAATCAAAACATCAAAAATTCAAAAATTGGAAAATAGAAAAATTGGAGAATCAAAATTGAAGAAGCGAAAAATTGAAAAATCGTATAACTGAAATATTCAAAAATTAATGAATCGAAAAGTTAAAAAAAATCGAGAAATCCAAAATTTCCGAAAATCGAGAAATTGAAGAATCGATAAATTGAAACATCGAAACCTCGAGAATTTGAAAATTTAAAAGATCAAGAAATCGGAAATTGAAAAAACGAAAAGTTGAAAAATCGAGAAATCGAAAAATCAAAAAAGCAAAAATTGATTACAAATTGAAAAATTGAAAAATCGAAAATTTAAAAAGCTAGAAATTACAAAATTGAAAAATCGAAAAGTTGAAGAATCAAAAATTGAAAAATCGTAAACTGAATATTGGAGAATTACGAAATGGAAAAATTGAAAAATCGATTGATACAGAAATTGAAAAGTTGAAAAACAAGAAAAGAAAAGACAAAAACTAAAAAATTGGGAAATCGAAAAATTTAAAAATTGTCAAAGCTAAAATATCGGAATATTAAGAAATCGAAAAATAAAAAAATCGAGAAATCGAAAATTCGAAAAATCAGGAAATTGAAGAACCGATAAATTGAAAAATCCCAAACTGAAACACTGAAAACTTTAGTAATCGAAAAACTGAAAAATCAAGAAATGGGAAGTTGAAAAAACAAAAAGTCGAAAAATCTAAAATTGATTAATCGAAATATTTAAAAAAATGAAAAATCGAAAATTTGAAGAATTGAAAAATTGAAAATTCGATAATTTGACAAATCCTGAAAAACTGAAATATCGGAAAATTAAGAAATCGAAAAATAAAAAAAAGTGAAATCAAAAATTCGAAAAATGGAGAAATTGAAGAAACATTAAATTGAAAAATTGAAAAATCCTGAAACTGAAATATTGGAGAAATTGAGTAATCGAGAATTTGAAAAATCGAAAATTTAGAAACGCCAAAAAAATAAAATAAATAGTTTATCGATCATCCAACGGGCAAATCGCCCACATAGGACATAATAATAACTAATAGTAAACTTAACCCAAAAAAACAAAAAATTTTAATACCTCAAAAATTGCAAAATTGAAAAATTTAAAATTGAATGGACAATTTTAAAAACTGAAAAATGGAAAAAAATGAGAAAAATCGAAAACGGAAACAAAGAAAATTGAAAAATCGAAGCCGCAAAATCGAAAAATTGGAAAACCAAAAATTTGACAATTGAAGAATTGAAACAATAAAAAATCCAATCATTGAAAAGTCGAGAAATCGAGAAATGGAAAAGTTAAAAAATAAAAAATAAATTAGTCGAAAAATGGAGAAGCGTCTAAAGTTGAAAGATTGAAAAATTTAAATATCGAAAAATTGAATACCTAGTCAAAAAATTAAAAAATCGTTAAATTGGGACATTGAAAAATCAAAAACCTAGAAACCGAAAATTTGAAAAATAGAAAATTTGAAAAACTGAGAATAGTCGAGAAATCGAGAAATGGGAAAATCATAAAATCAATTAATAGAGAAGTTGAGAAGTCCAAAAATTGGAAATTCAGAAACGTGAAAAATTGTAAAATTGAAAAATTAAAAATCTAAAAATTGAAGACTCAAAAAATTGAAAAATGGTAAAACCGAAACATCGGGACTGAGGAATCGAAAATTTGAAAAATCCTGACACTGAAATATCCAAGAATTGGGTAATTGAGAAATTGAAAATCGAAAAACTGAAAAATTGGAAAACCCAGAAATTGAAATATCGAAAAATTAGAGAATAAAGTCACTAAAAAATTCTAAAACGGAAATATCGAAAAATTGGGAAGGCAAAAGTTGAAAAAGCGAGAAATCGAAAAGCTGAAATTTCGAAAACTTGAGAAATTGAAACCTGAAAAGCAGAGAAATTCAAAAACTGAAAAATCGAAGTAGAAAAACCGAGAAAAGTCTAGAAGTCGAGAAATGGGAAAATCATAAAATCAATTGATCAAGAAATTGAGAAATGGCAACATTGAAAGTTCAGAAACGTCAAAAATTGAAAATTGAAAATTTAAAAATTTAAAAATGGAAAAGTTAGAAGATTGCAAAATTGTAAAACTGAATCGGAAAATTGAGAAATTGAAAAATTGAAAAATGTCAACACTGGAATATGAATAAATACTCGTAACAATAAATATATAAATAATATCGAAGAATTGGGTAATGGAAAAATGAAAAAATCGAGAGATCAAAAATTTGAAAAAACGAGAAATTGCAGAATCGATAAATTGAAAAATCCTCAAACTAAAACATCTAAAACTTGAAAAATCTAAAATTGAAAAACCAAGAAATCGGAAGTCGAGAAAACAAAATGTCGAAAAATCGAGAAATCGAAACGTCGAAAAGTAAAAAAATCGATTAAACTGAAATATCGGAAAATTAAGAAATCGAAAAATTGAACAATCGAAAATTTAGAAGTTAACGCCAAAAATTAAAAAAATCGAAAATCGAAAAATTGGAGAATCAAAACATGGAAGAATCGAAAAATTGACAAATCGTAAAACTGAAATATTGGAATATTAAGAAAACGAAAAATAAAAAATCGAGAAATCGGAAGGTCGAAGAATCAAAAAATCAATTAATCGAAAAATTCAAAAATTGAAAAATCGAAAAATTGAAAAATTGTAGAACTGAAATATCGGAAAATTATGAAATCGAAAAATAAAAAAAGAGGAAATAAAAAATTCGAAAAATCGGCTTATCTCCCGACATCGTATATCATGAAGACATAATCATGAGATGTACTTACTTTTAGCGGGAATTGCATTTGAAGTTCGACACGAATACAAGTGTTGCCACCAAAACGGACCAGAACCCCCACCATACAACCGCGTAGAATTTCGACATCTTCCACACCCTTTGTGTACGCCCACGTTCACTTGTTTTGTGCCACAAAACCCCCCGATCGATCCATAAAACATGATAAACCCTCCCGTTTCCGTGTTTTTCAAGTTTAAATTACACATGTCGTAGAAAAATATTTTTGTTAGGTTTTAATTGGTTCGTTGTTTGCTTTCGGCGTAACGAACTAATAAATGTTAATAACGCATTCGTCAGGATGTTGTTGGCGTAATGCATTAATCAACGAACAATTAAGCAGAAGAATAATTAAACGTCCATTCGGAAATTGCGTTCGCTTTATCTGGCGAAATGTGGAACGAGCACAGAATGCACATTTCTAATAAGGCGGTGGCGCAGTCGCTCGGATTTCTTGTAGCGACAAACCGACGAGGACGAGAAAAACTGAAGCTCCTAAAGCGGAATTAAATTAGCTAGTGGACGAATTTCGCTCCATTAATGCGTGCGGTGTGATCATTTTTAGCACATTTATATTGTTTGCTAAAGCTCCAAGCGACGCAAGTTGTCCCTAAGATTCCTATTATTTATATTTATACTGTAAAGGCAACGTCTAAACTCTCCCTTGAGGACTTTTAGAGAAAAGCACGATGTTGTGTTGTTTCTAGGTGTAAACGAAACCCGAGTTTCCGTCGAGATTTTTAAGGCAGCGACGATTTAAAATAATAGGGAATTAAAGCTTGCGCTGACTCAGCTGTGACAAATTTCGCCGACTCAGCTATATCAAATTTCGCCGAGTCAGCACCGAAAAAACTCCAGGTTTGTATCCGAGGCACTCAGACTGTTAACAGCAAGGGAATGCCCTTTCCATCGACCAAATTAAATTCGCAATAAATTACAACAATAATTCCGGCGGTCTCCCTTAATGGCGCCCTCCAGCGCACTAATTACTGTTGATGCATATCAGACGGCCAATAAAACGGCGATTCCATTGATTCTGGCGTGGATAATAAGGGCGGCAGGGTCGTAATAAATCAATCAGGGGCAACGCGCCCCCAGAAATTCGTGTAAATCTGGAATACTCACTGGAGGATGCCGAATTCGAGCTGGAGCTGGTTGCGGACGTCGAACGGTAGTATGGGGGCGATCCTGGCGCCTCCGGTTTGCCGCCGACCTTCGGCGAGCCCATCCGTCGAGTCACGTCCGGGGCGGGGGCGAAGACGCGGTCCTCCTGGAACGAGATAATCAGCTGCTTAACATGCCAGACGAATGAAAAATGGGCTGGTCGGCAGATGGCGTTATCGGCGGCCGCTCACGCACTCGATCGGCCGGCTTTACCATAAGACAGGACTTTTGAAGTGGATTACGCCGCCAACAGGTGCAATAACGGCGCGTAAATCCCTCGCCGAAGAGCTTACTACGCGCCATTTACGAAAAGTGCTAGAACAATATTGTGTTTGCGGATGAAATTCCGTTCGACCTGAATAAATTTAATGGCGCGGTTATTGTAGGTTACTGTGCAAACTTGTTCAACCTTTCTGCGTGTGGTGTGAATACAAATAAAAGCGCTAGGGCGGCGTCAATTCCCCCTCGGATTCATCTTTTTTACTTAAATTGGCTCTGCCCATCCCGACGACTACATGTTGAATGACGATAAGAAAGTTACTTCTTTTTCGGGCGACTATCGGGAAATGTTTACTCAACGCTCAAAGCACGGATTCGGGCTATTGCCTATTGGACATGGATGCATGTACAATAAACACGGCCATAAATGCGGACGGGAACTAATTTCTGTCCTATATTACGGCATTACGTTCCATTCTACGACTGCATGAATCAATCGGGATTGTTCGGCGTACAATGTGCCACTCTGTGCTAATTTATAACTAAGACTGCGAAAAAGTCGGAATGCTCATTTCAATAACAGGCGCGCAGCGACCGCACACTCGGAAGATGAATTATGAATTACAGACTCCCGTCTTGTCAAAAACTCTTTCCGATGCTTTTTAATATTAAATACACCCAGATTCTGCGGAAACATTCAGCCTGACACGATTTCACGTCAATTTTGGCGCAGCGGAAGCCATTCGCGCTGGCGTTACGTCAAAACAGACTCAAGCCGTCAAGATCGAGACGAGCGCACAACATGAAGACCTATGACGGTTGCGCAAAAAATCGGCTTAAACGTAATAAGAGTGCATCGTAAAAATATAATGTTTAGCAAGTTAGCAGAGATCCAAATTGATGAATCATTATGAATATCACAGTTATTAGAAATACAAACTAATCAACCGCACATTAAATTAATTGGGGACCAGTATTTAGTCGTGGTACAAGAGCATAGAACAGTGAGTTCTGTTATGAAGAAGAGTGTATAAGAATTGAATCAAGAGCATATTTCGCCGAGCATGCGTTTATGTAAAATTAAATCTCGTCAAAAGATCTGAATGATCTACACCACGTGGGGAGTAAACACCGTCGTAAGAAAGTTAAGAATTTGAAAAACTTTCTTTGTGTAGTCTCAATCTGCTTGCGATGGATTGCGTAGATGGGGTACCAAATAACTGCATTTAGAGATATTCAACATTAATCTATTTCGAATACACCAAGAGTAACGCAAAATTAAGCAAAACTGAAGATAGTTACAGTCATTAATAGAACTAATTTCGGTGTATAATTTGTGATCATCAGCCAACATAAGTTTATTGGAAGAAATAGCATCAGGAAGATCGTCAATAAAGAACAAAAACAACAAGGTTTTAAGTTCAATCCCTGCGGGACCCCACAACACGGAGTAAATGTTTTACAGAGTTTTTACAGTAATGAATAATCATCTATTTTATCGAAAGCCATTTGGAAATTAGTATATATGACAATATGGCATCACATTGTCCATTACCGTCGATGATGACTAAAATCCACATTTTATTTTTTTAAGACAATAACCAGAACAACCAGTAGTCATTAAGTGTTGTGCATTATTATTACTAAAACAAGCTGTTATTTTTCATTAATACATAAACCAAAAAAAAAAACATTTAATAAGACATTTATAAATTATAAACAACAACAAAACCAACAAAAGAAAAATCCATTAATGCATAACCAATTAAACACTAGAGAAGATGTTCAAACTTCCTGTCTTATGCATATAGGTGAGCCCGTAATATTTCGAAATTTTAATCATTTTTTTGTAAAAGTTAGTCATTAGTACATGCTAAAATAAAACTGATTTTGGCAAATGACATACCCTCTAAAAAAGAGAGGGAGGGTGGGTGGGCGGGGGTGGTACCTGCCAAGATAAAACTGATTTTGGCAAACCACATACACTTTAAGAAAAGACAGGGTGGGTGGGCGGGGCTAATACCTGGTAAGATAAAACTGATTTTGGCAAACCACATACCCTTTACAAAAGACAGGGTGGGTGGGCGGGGCTAATACCTTCTCAGATAAAACTGACTTTGGCAAATGACATACCCTTAAAAAAAAGGGTGTGTGGGCGGGGCTAGTACCTGCTAAGATAAAGCTGATTTGGGCAAATGACGTATCTTCTAAGAAATTTAATTAAATTATTATAAGAAAAGACACTAAGGGCTCCAAAGGACATTCAGATTATTTTCAAACAGGAACATCTAGAACCTCAAGATCGTTTTAAATTTTTCAAAACAAAACGGGGTCAAAAAATAACTCAAAAACAGGTCAGCTCAGAATTTTCCAAAAATAGACCACCAAAATCTCCCAAAATAATACACCATGGGTACTTAAGAGCCTCCGGAATTAAAAAAAAAACACTTCGGATCTTAAGTCTTTTTAAGAGTCGTAAATATTTCTGATACGTCAAATTTTTTAACTGCTTACTGGGTTTTTGCTGATTTGTACCTTCTCTTTATATAGAGCAAATATTGTTGTCAAATGGAAGTTTATCAAATTATTACAAGAACAAAATCACCGTACCTTTGTACATTCTAATTGAAATGGTAATTAAACATGGTCATGGGGAAGAGAAATATTAACTAAAAGTTTTATTACTATACTAATTATTGTGATAATGAATGAGTTGTTTAGTTGTTAAAGGTAGCAAAAGAACCAAATTAAAAATTATTATAACTCCCCCAAAATGTTAGAAGGAATATTTTTACTATTTTTTCCAGACTTACCAGTTGATAGTTAAGAGCGTAGCGGAGACTTCGATTTTCCAGACATTCGATATAATAATGGTCAAATAAGGATAGTTACACATATTGTCATTTTTTTTTTGGAAAAAGAAGATTTCGTATATTAAGAAAACATGGTCCCCGCCCACCCACCCCTTCTCGATTGTGATGAATATTTTATTCATCGTGAGCTGAATGGCGGAATTTAGTTGCAAAATCCTCATTTCTCTACAAGAAATCATCACATGAAATATGTTTTTACAAGGGTAGAATTTTTTTAGAGAAATATTGATGTTTCAATTAAACTTCGCCCTTCGGTCTGATTAGGAATGAAAAACTCAGCACAACTGAGATCGCGACGGGTGGGTGGGGCTTAATTTTTGTTTTTTTTTTTAATATATAGAGTTTTCTTTTAACAACAGGACAGTTAAACATACTGTCAGTTTCTTGTTGGGAAAAGAAGACTTTGTATGTTAAGAAAAAATGGACAAAATATAAGCCCCGCCCACCCACCCCTTCTCGATTGTCATGAATATTTTATTCATCGTGGGCTGAAGGGCGGAGTTTGGCTGCAAAATCCTCATTTCTCTATAAGAAATTACCATATGAGATATGTTTTTAAAAGGGTAGAATTTTCTAGAGAAATAATATGTTATATATAAACTCCGCCCCTCATCTGTTTAAGAATGAAAAACTCATCACAATTGCGATTGGGGCGGGTGGGTGGGGCTTAAATTTTTTTTTTTTTCATATATAGAGTTTTATTTCAACAAAAGGACAGTTAAACATATTGTCAATTTCTTTTTGGGAAAGGAAGACTTCGTATATTAAGAAAAAATGGATAAAATATAAGCCCCGCTCACCCACCCTTTCTCAATTGTGATGAATATTTTATTCATCGTGTGCTGAAGGGCGAAGTTTGGCTGGAAAATCCTCATTTCTTTACAAGAAATTACCATATGAAATCTGTTTTTAAAAAGATAGAATTTTTTAGAAAAATATTGGTGTTACAATTAAACCCCCCCATTAGTCTGATTAGGAATGAAAAACTCATCACAATTGCGACTGGGGCGGGTGGGTGGGGCTTAATTTTTGTTTTTCTTTCTTAATATACCTACAGAGTTTTCTTTCAACAACAGGACAGTTAAACATATTGTCAGTTTCTTTTTGGGAAAAGAAGACTTCGTATATTAAGAAAAAATGGACAAAATATAAGCCCCACCCACCCACCCCTTCTCAATTGTGATGAATATTTTATTCATCGTGAGCTGAAGGGCGGAGTTGGACTGCAGAATCCTCATTTCTCTACAAGAAATTACCATATGAAATCTGTTTTTAAGAAGGTAGAATTCTTTAGAATAAATATTGGTGTTACAATTAAACTCCGCCCATTGGTCTGATTAGGACTGAAAAACTCATCACAATTGCGATCGGGGCGGGTGGGTGAGGCTTAATTTTTGTTTTCCTTTTTTAATATACCTATAGAGTTTTCTTTCAACAACAGGATAGTTAAACATGTTTTCAGTTTCTTGTTGGGAAAAGAAGACTTCGTATATTAAGAAAAAATGAACAAAATATAGGCCCCGCCCACCCACCCCTTCTCAACTGTGATAAATATTTTATTCATAGTGAGCTGAAGGGCGAAATTTGGCTGCAAAATCCTCATTTCTCTACAAGAAATTACCATATGAAATCTGTTTTTAAGAAGGTAGAATTTTTTAGAAAAATATTGGTCTTACAATTAAACTCCACTCATTGGTCTGATTAGGAATGAAAAACTCGTCACAATTGCGACCAGGGCGGGTGGGTGGGGTTAATTTTTGTTTTTCTTTTTTAATATATAGAGTTTTCTTTCAACAACAGGATAGTTAAATATATTGTCAGTTTCTTGTCAAGAAAAGAAGACTTCGTATCTTCAGAAAAAATGGACAAAATATAGGCCCCGCCCACCCACCCCTTCTCAACTGTGATGAATATTTTATTCATAGTGAGCTGAAGGGCGAAGTTTGGCTGCAAAATCTTTATTTCTCTACAAGAAATTACCATAGGAAATCTGTTTTTAAGAAGGTAGAATTTT